AATTGTGATCCAAATTCAGTTATGTACAAGATAAAGGCTAACTTCTGACGGAGCGAAGCGAGGCCCGTCGTCGGGAGGCTTGGGCCGAAGCGAAGCGGATCGTCGCCTATTAGGGTTTTTTCATCTCTATATATACTTCCTGTAAGCCGTCGTCTTGGGATAAGAAAAGTTGTAAATCCCCGACGTTTGTAACCTCACCCGATATAGTGAAGATTTGCTGGATGGTGCCCGTGGTGTTTTCCCTTCTTCCTTGGAAGGGTTTTCCACGTTAAAATCTCGTGTCCCCTGTGTTTTGATCTACTGTTCTTCGTCGTTTATATTGCCTATCATTTCTAACACGATTAACTAAGTGCCTAAGTGATTAAGTGGCCGAGTGGTTGAGTGCACTAAGTGATTAGTTGTGGATCCAGGATTTTGAACTTAGGTATTCAAAACCGTGAAGAGGTATTAATCTTTTTTATAATCTAAAACCAAAGGCAAAATAGCCATATTCGTCCTCAAACTTTCATCCAAAGCTCAAATTGGTCCCTCAACTATCAAAACAGCCACTTTAGTCTTTGAATTTGCAATTTTCGTTCAATCTCGTCCTCTGTCCAACGTCATCTGCTACAGCAGCTCACTCCGTCAGCACAGCCCATGTACTCTGCTAGTACAGTTGTTGTTAGTGGTTGTAGGACCGTAGATAATCATGTAAGGATTCTTGAAATCAAATGATTTTGCGAGAAAATAAAATGTCTCATGTCTCAATATCAGCTGACATAGAAAATGTTGTTCACAAAGGATTGACCCTGATAGTCAATGCCTACTGAAATTACACAATGCTCTTTTTTAAGGCCTCAAGTTGTTTTCCTGTTTTTTCAGAGAGGAGCTGTTTTGTCCTGTTGCTGATCCACGTCCAAGTGAAGTGGACTGAATGTTTGCAGATGCACGGCCGCTTGTTACACTAATGGTTGCCTTTGCGGCACCTTTTCCAGCATTTTTCTCAATGACAACAGAGGCACTCCCACCAGTAGATGCCTTTACTGATGCTTCAGCAGTTGACTTGCATCTTGAAAAAGAAGCCAGCCTTTTGTTTTGGCCAGACTACAATAGAAAAAAGATATTTCAATTTACTTTGCTGTAATAGTATATGCAACTAATCTGAAATGATTGGTACTACTTAGTAACCTGGGTAAATGAAGAATCAGTCTTTTCATTGTAGTATAATCCATAACCATCAGACCTCTTGCTTTGAGTTGAAGATGTGGCGGGACACTTTCTTTTTGATTGCTTGGATTGTTCAGGTTCAGTGCCAGCTTGTTGTGATGGATTATGCGACCCCGTGTCCTCCAACTGTTATATAGTAGAAGTTAGATTCATCTCATGTGAAACAATACATTACAATAATAAGGAAAAATTCAGAAATACATAAACATCATTTTCACATAGCATGTCATGGAGTTGTGACCCATATTTTTGCATCGACTGCATCTAATTTTAGTACCGACTTTCGATGACTTGGGCCTAATTTCACTTCTAAAGGATCTTTCTTTCTATTTTTGGGTGGGCGCCTGGCATTTTCTTCACTCTAGGAGGCAATGGCTTTGGATTTGGAGATACAAGCCAGGCTGACTCATGCTCCACGGGTTGCAGGACATGTTGATATGTCCTCTTGTATTGCTCAATCCAGAAACACAAATGTACATAATTGTTAGGCTCTTCAACCATTTTGAATAGAGCAGCACAAGCATGTTGACATGGAATCCTAGAGACTTGCCAAAATCTACAAGAACATGTCTTGTTTTTCAGATCCACAGTGAACCTCCATTTTTTGTCTGACACTTCAAATCCAGCTTCACCATTCCACAAGACATGACAAAATTGGGTCGTATGTCTGATCTTTCTGAACTTTCTTAAGATATTGGGACATATTGTTGTAATCCACCTCTCACTATTGCTCCTATTCTCTTGAATTCTTCTAGTTATTAGGACCCTTATGTCCTCTAACATAGTTATGATAGGTTTAAATCTTGCTTCAATAATCTAACTATTGAATGATTCACTCATGTTGTTATTAACTGATTCACAGTTTGATCCAAGCCTGAACCAAGCTCTACACCAATGTATAGGGTATGTTCTCTCCAAATCTACCCATCCTATTGGATTTTTCATGGCAAGCTTGTTCCTATAATGATTAAATAATATCTCATTTGGTGCCTTTGCAATCTTCCAAAACCTTCTTTGATACTCATGTAGCCTATGCTTTTTCCTCCAATTAGCATAGATGCGACGAGCACACATTCTGTGCTCAGCAAATGGAAATAGCTGCTGAATAATACTTAGTAGGCCCTACATAAATAAATGAAGTGGATGTCACTCCACAATTTATATGCTAACTGATGCATGCATGTTAAAAGCTATATAAATAAATTTATTCTCTTACTTTTTGTTGGTCTGTAATGAACACCCATCCCGCAACACCAATAGGTATATTGATATCTTTTTGAAGATGTCCAAGAAACCAACCCCGCGAATCTTTATTCTCATATTCCACAACAGCCCATGCTATTGGGTAAATCTGATTATTCGCGTCCCTTCCAACTGCTGATAGTAACTCACCTTTCATAGGTCCCTTAAGAAAGCAACCATCTAGCCCAAGGACTCTCCTGCATCCATCTAAGAAACCCCTTCGACATGCATCGAAACATATGTAAATTCTCTGGAAAACATGGTCCTCTTCTTCTGGATCAAGAGCAATGTGTACACTAGTTCTAGGATTACTTCTCTTCAGCTTAAGAGCATAGTCAAATAATTTTGAGTATTCACCACTCTAAGAATCCATTATCTTCTTCGTTACCTTTGTCTTCGCTCTCTTAATCATTGTGATTGATACATCTACACCAATATCTTCTTGTACTGTCTCCTTCATTGCTCTAGTCACAAGATGGGTTGGGGCATCCAAATCCATGATTTTAGTATCTTCCAAATTTTTTTCACCTATCTGTTCATTAGGTTTCGCCACAAGATGGGTTGGGGCATCCAAATCCATGATGTTATCATCCCTAAACAAGGCAAAAACATCTTCATCTTCATACTGTGTCTCGATTTCTTCGTTGGCATCAATTTCAATGGGCTCAGTATATATGTCCACAGCCCTTGCAGCACCTAGCTCATTAACCATGTCCAGGCATGACTTATCATCTACCAATAACTTCATTCCACTACTCACTTCTGCATCAAATGGGAAACAGTACATCCTAATATATCTTTGGAAAGTTGTAGTTCTGGGATAGATAGCTTGTCCTTATCAATGTGTGACAGTCCCCAATCCCCATTGCAACACTTCACCTTTGACCCATCAATAACAAAATCCCCATTGAAATGAAATCTAACTTCCAATACCTCATAATCTGACATTTTACTGCAGCCCTACAGATCCACTACATGGTCAGGTTCCACCTCAAAGCAAAACCAAATCCACCAACAGGAGATAAAGATTCATGTGGGCAAACATGGACTCACCTGTACTTCCAACTCCGTCTCTGCTCTCCTTCACAGCGAGTCCACGAGCAGCACCCAACCAGCAGCGCGGCTCCGTTCGCACCCTCCTCGACGTCGTCTCCATGCTTCAAACCCTAGCCTCCACGTGCAGCCGCCATGGAAGAGGATAAGTCGAGTTGTGCTTCTCTCTGGTCGACCTAATGGAAATATCGTCTCAGATTTTAACGGTGTGAGCTAACGACGTCAGTCAGAGGACGAGATTGAACGGAAATTGCAAATTCAAGGACCGAAGTGGCTGTTTTGATAGTTGAGGGATCAATTTGAGCTTTGGATGAAAGTTTGAGGACGAATATGGCTATTTCGCCAAAACCAAATGGTGAATGTTAAAATTTTGTCAAATCCTAGGTAGTGGCAGACTCGGAATTATATAGGGTATGCCATGCTAAAATTTTGATTTGTATCGGTAAAATTCGTTTAGCAGTTCAATAAGCAATGGTAAATTTTTTTTAGCAATTTGGTAAATTTAAACCATTAATCAAACTAAGGTGTGCTCTGCAGGAACAGAGCACGATGCCGACCAGAACCTATAGCCCCCCGTGGCGCCGTGCCCGGTGCCCCCAGGCACTGCGCCCTTCGGCTCGCGCTCCGCCGACCGATGCTCGCCGAATCGCCGGTCAGGTCACACGCTCGCAGCCCCGTGCACCACTGCGCACAGCGCACGCCAACCTGGCTCTTGTGCTCGTGGAGTCGTGGACTAGCCCTGTACGCTGCCTGGTGTGGGAGAAATTGGGCGACATGCCACTGGCCTTGCTGGGCCGGTCATCGAGTGGGGAAAAAAAGCTACACAAGAATACGTCTGTTGAATTCACAGTTACAGGATATTCGTTTTGGCTTTATTTTCTTCTTTCTCCTACACATACATGTATATATACACTATACATATAATTGGATATTCAAGAATACCCTTGAACATAAGTGGGCCTGTCCCTGTGAATGATTAAGTGCTTGAGTAAATGCGACTACTTAAAGTGTTCCACTTGATTCTCTAAATATTTTAAGAAAATAACCATGTCATTAACAAAATAGTTTAAGTATCTAATATTAATGGACGTCATCTATCGCAATCTATAAATGTCCGGACGTATGTGCATGGCTACAAGGACGCTGAAGAGGGGGAATACCAAAGTTCATGTTCATCCAAAGGGAGTTATAAGAACCTATCAAAAAAAAAAGGAGTTATAAGACGGGCCATTTTGACAGATACAGGAAGGCCCACCAATAGCCCAGTAAGCGTAGAGGTCATCCATCTAAGACACGGAGGCGCCTTGGGGAAAGGGGGAAAAGTAGCCGGCCCTCTTCCTTTCCTGCTCCCTTCCTTTCCTGCCCACACAACACGAGGGGGATTTCGTTTCGTTTCATTTCGTTTCCTCCCGTTCGTTGAAGGAGCGCCGGCGGAGAGGCGAGGCGAGCGGCAACGGAGACGGGACCTCGCGCCACCAGCCGCCCGAGCTCCCCGCGCCATGGATCCCATCATGAAGCTACTCGAGGACGACGAGGTGCCCCGCCTGACCTGGGCCTCTCTTGCCATTTTGCCTTCGGATTATTGTGGCGGAGATTTGATTGGAACGGTGCCCTTCTTCTTGTTCCGAATTGCGCAGGATGAGAGTCTGCACTCGGGTGCCGACGTCGAGGCCTTCACGGCGGCGCTGAACCGCGAGGTGGAGGCCAGCGCCAGCGCCAGCACCAGCACCAGCGTCCCCGCCGGCTCCTCCTGCTCCTCGTCCCAGCCCACGGGTCACGGTGCTGGTGAGCCCCCAGACCCCGCTGCCATTTTCTGTTCTCTGTTCGAATTCGCGGCGTGCTCTACTTTTGGCGAGAATTGGGGGTTATAGGAATCAAGAAACGGCACGGGTGGTTTTGGATAATGCGGCTCTTGGGTTGGGAGAAAACATGACTTCGACCAACGTTTGTTCTGTACTTCTGTCTATGGTAACAGAATGCAGCTCCAGAGTTGGAAATGCTGGACTCCAGTTTTCTGTTTAGTGTGTGCACTGCATAGACAACCTTCAAAAATAGGTTGGCTCAACTATCTGATGGAGTCTGTGACATCACAAGCAAGAAGCAAGTTTCTTTGAGTTTGATTTGAATAGGGTTTGACATTTATGTCTTCTTGCAGTACAAATAAAATAGTAGGGAAAGCAATGCTGAAGTACTGAAACTTGGGCATTCTGTCGTAAGGAAATAAGTTGTGCTTAATGCTTCTTGATTGCATTGAAATAAAAAAAGTGCTCAAGGCGTTTGGGGTCAAATAATAGTCTCTGGATTTGAAAATCATGTAGGTTTCTGAAGTTAGCCTAAGATTTATTAGAAATAGCTATGGGTGTCTGACTTAATTCAGTTATTGTCACCAATATGTAGGTCTTATTTTAAGATTATCTGTGCTTGAGTTTGAATCAGATTGGATGATGTTTGTACTGTTGGTCATGGAGGTATGAAGTCTGCCAAAAAAAACTCATTTGAACTTGAAGACATGTTAGGGTTTCTGATACAAAAATTATTGTAGAGTGGTTTCTATACGAGTGTTTGTGCGGCCCTTGGACTTTCGAGATTGGAACAGAGAATGGAATTTACACTTCTATTCTTATTGTGATGGACTTTGCAACAAAAATAGAACTTGAAAAGAACATAATTAGGGAGTTCTGATGGTATTCTCTTTAGGAGTATGGTATTTATGTTTCCCTTTTGTTTGGAGGATCTGAACCAGAGTTTTTTGGCATTGGTGTTATGAGTGAAGACTACATTAGGAACATTTTCAGCAAGTAAGCAAAAATACAAATTTTTTGTATCCATGTCTTAGCTTGGCATGTGATGCTATGTTTTTTTATTTCACTGTCCTCAGTTTTTCTAACCTATACTCGCTTGATAAGCATTACTTCATATGGAAGCAAAAGTATAACCAAGCATATATTGGTATATATGTATATTTTCAAAAGCTGGCCTCTTCCAAGTTTCAACATAACTTTTAGGTATATTTCCATTTTAAGGGGCGGCATTATAAAGCTCTTGCTTGAGTTGTGACATAGTTGGATCTTCCAATGACTTCAATTGTATTGTCAATATGGGGCCCTTCTGATTTGATAACTGCTCTCTCTGGTGTACTAATAATAATGACTTGACACCAGAAATCCAGGATGTCCCAAAAATCTAGATTAGTGTCTGGCTTGCACAGAATTTCTAGTTCCATGAGAAGATCACAGACATGCACAATTTTCAGCACCCATGGTGCATTTTACTCTTTTCCCATATAGTATTATCTTAAATGCCCCCTTTTTGTTGCTGACCTGTGCTGTGATTGTTTTTATCAATTTAGTCTAATACTCTGTACTTACATGGTTCCTGCATAATTTGACCTCCAATTGCAGGACTTTTACCTCAGGAACACAAGTCACTATTAAACCATGGTCATGGTCAGTGGCAAGATCCAGTAAAGAATGAAATTGTAAACCAGGAGAGCCAGCAACAGGAACAGACACATGCACTTAGAAATGATCAGCCGTCAAGACCTGAAATGGTTTCTCAAGGTTCTAATAACAACCCCCTTCCTACTAATACACCAAAAGAATGTGATTTACTTAAGGCAAAGCAAGAGCCTGGGACCACATCTCAACAAGGTATTGTTGCTCAGCAGCAGCCTATGCAGCAAATGAAGAGTGAACAAACACCAATTGTCACTCAGCAGCAATCTATGCAGCAAATGAAGAGTCAACAAACACCAGGCACAAACCAAACAAATAGTGCAACTACAACAACAAAAGCCCCAGTTGTTACATTTCACATGTTAATTCCAATTTTGAGACGCTACCTTGACAAAGACAGGGATATGCAAGTGCAGTCCATTTTCGCCAAGTTGCGGGTTTGTATATTGTTTTTTCTTAATTTTATATTTGGTCATTGCTTTTTACTGGAAACTTTCGGTCAATCTGTCCAAGGATGAGAAAGCTCTAATAAACATATCGGAATCACAGAACAATAGAAATATGGATTACAGTATTAACTTTTATTTCATACAAACATCGGTTCGGATATTTTTATTACTACCGCACTAGAGTAATACTAATTTTCTCTTATAACATAGATATTGATTCAAGTCAGTAAGTCTCAAGTAATCACATGGGATTTTTTTTATTGGTTTTTATAGAACGTCATTGAAAGCCATTAATCTGCTTATCCTTTTTTCTAAATTTGATCTTTTATTTTTAATAGAAAAATGAAGTCAGCAAGGAACACTTCTTAAAAGTTGTAAGGAATATTGTTGGTGATAAATTGCTTAAGCAAGCTGCTTCACAATATCAAATGCAGGTAAATAATCTTTCGACTTCATTTTGTTATATGTAAACATAGTCTGGCTTGCCGCCATTTATAAGTGTTGCTTAGCTTTGTACTTTTAGTGTTTATAAGTTAGGTCTGCCTGTATATCTATCAGCATTGCATGTAGTCTTATTGTAGTCATTCTTACCAGCACCTTTTGTTTTGGGGGGTTACTTACTCATGTTTGTCAGCACACTGCTCAGGCACAGCGAAGCCCTCAGACAAACCCAAGCAACTATTCTTTATCAGGTCAAGTTTCTGGTCAGCAGACTGTTCCCAGTGGTTCTATGACAGGAGATGAACAGAAGGGATATCCAGGGGCTCACACCATCCCTATGAAACAAGCTATTGACAGCACTCGACCACCTCAATTTCGGCCTTCCTCGTCTGGCCAAATGCAGAGTAATACGAGTTATCCACCTTCAGAAACCAATTTGCATAAGGCTAATGAAATGGGAAACATGTCGGATGGGAAAGGGGTGCATATGTTACAAACTCGTCTGCCCAATAACTCCATACCAGTACAAACAATGCAGCATCCACAGACATCCTCACCAGTGTTTGGGGCAAATAGTATTCATGCACGTCCATTTCCGCGGCCAGTTGGAGGTCCAGCTGCACCATTTAGACCACAAATGGCAGATTCCAATCCAAGAGCACAATTGGTCCAGGGAGCTGTGACCACAGTAGCTGGGAGTGTGCCAACACGATCCATAGTGTCTGGAAATGCGCCAAGTAATCAATCTACAAGGCAACAATCAGCAAACAAGGAGCAAAAAACTCATTCTTTTGCTCCAACAGCACATATGAATAAGGAAACTGTTAGCCAAAACTCTGAATCTTCACAGAATTCTTTTGCTGCGATGCATGCAAAACAAGTCAATCAAGCCCTGGGATCTTCAAAAGTCGGTGCTGGCACGGAAAGCCAGCCACCACAATTGAGTGCACCTAAGCCTTTAACCACAACAAGCTTAAGTCAGACTCAATCTCATGGCATTCAAGAAGAGCCTAAAATTCAGGTATGTATTAATTTGCTATTGTGTTGATATGTTTTTCTTGTACTTTTAGTTGCACATAAAAAATCATTTCGGAAACATTACTTCCCGAAGGTTTAAATTGTTTGACAATTTGCATTATCTTTCTTATTAAGTTATATGAAGGGGAGCCTTGGCGCAGTGGTAAAGCTGCTGCCTTGTGACCATGAGGTCACAGGTTCAAGTCCTGGAAACAGCCTCTTGCAGAAATGCAGGGAAAGGCTGCGTACAAAACACCCAAGTGGTCGGACCCTTCCCCTGACCCTGCGCAAGCAGGAGCTACGTGCACTGGAGCTGCCCTTTTTTTCTTATTAAGTTATATGAAACCTTGAAATGTTCTTGGCTGATCTTGCCAATGCCAAACTTCTATGTGAAACTCATATGACCATACCAAGCTGCATTTACTCATAACTACACTTGAAACTTGATATTGATCAGTTGAGCAAGTTCAGCAAGTTCACCAGTTAGTTTTCCCGCCTGTTTGCCAGCTAAAGCAAGGACATCTATCATAGATAGAAGCCTATGTAGGGATACTACAGAGAAACTTGGAAATAATAGCAAGGGAGGACTATTTAGTGAAAAAGCTGAAAAAGCCTTGGCAGCCGACGCAATTTAATGCACATTGCCCTTATAGAGTGGATTGTGCTATTTCTACTTAGGTAATTGGCTAATTGTGATGGATAAGTCTCTGTGTCTTTGTGGGGCTGCAGCAGTCTTTGTGGTCTGTTTTTAGAGGACAGCAGCAGCATCATCTTTAGAGGACAGCAGCAGCATCCTGGACAGAGGACAGCAGCAGCAGCATCCTTGACTGGCATCTTAGCATCCTTAGGATAGCATCTTAGAGGCATCTTAGGACAGCATCTTAGAGGACAGCATATTAGCATCTTAGACTAGCATCTTGGCATATGCTTGGCTGGCTAGCAGCCTATAAATATGTATCCCCAACCCCTCAGGTTGGCATGGCATTTGTGTGAGTTTGTGTGAGAAATAAACCAGAAAATTGCCCCAACTCCTAGTGTCATCCTCTCTCGATGAGAGTAAGAATTCTGCTACTACCGAGAGTGAGAGTTCAACGACTAACAAATTGTCTTTCTTTAAGAAGAAAATAATAGCCCATTGGACTTACCATGCGTTGGAAAAACGATTAGAAAATCATATGACGCCCTTGTTAGCTAAAATACCATGTTACAATGTTTCAAAAATCATCTAAAAAATCATGTATGCAGCACACCTAAAGTTAATTATAGCCACAACAATTCAGTTTGAAATTCATCTTTGATGCTGAGATTAAAAAAACAAAAGCGTCAATGTCAGCACATGATGAACAGTGCCAGGTTGACTGCTTGTCTATTTTGCTTCTTGGCATTTAGGATGAATTTCAAACTGAATTGTTGCGGCTATGCTCAACTTCATGTGTCCTACATCCATTATTTTTGTAATGATTTTGAAACATTGCAACATGGTATTTTAGCTAACGTGGGCACCAGCCCCCCTGGGCACCAAATCTGCACTCAAAACGATCTAACTATGCCTCCTTTACCAGAACGTGTGAAGTACTGACTAACTTAGCAGTAAGGGAGCAACCTGAAGCTTGTAGAGTCAGTAGTTGGAACACATACTTGAAGGGTAGACCTGCTTTGATTTTTCTTGACTTAGTTGAATATTTAGACCATAATTTGGATCTCAAGCTACCTTTGATGTATGTTGTCAAGGTTATAATAATAAATCATAGGGTGAGTAGATCCAAATAATCTTGCTGTGAAACTTGTGGTAGCTCTTAAAGGTACCCCTTACGATATAGCAACAGGCAATCTGATTGATGCATGATCTAGTAAATGAGTCTTCTGTCACTAAAGGGCGTACCCAGTGCAGAGAGCTCCCGCTCTGTGCGGGGTCTGGGGAAGGGTGTTAGTGGCAAGCCTTACCCTCGCCTGTGCAATGCGAGGAGACCGCGACTCGAACCCGGGACCTTCCGGTCACAAGCGGTAAGACTCTACCGCTTGCACCAGGCCCGCCCTTCAAATGAGTCTTCTGTCACACCATGAAGATTAAGTTGTTGCATGCAGAGTTTGATCTCTATTAACTAAGCAGTGTTTTGAGCAAGGACAAGTAAGTTTTGTAATCAGCATGTCATTTGAATGTGTCTCCTTTAGATCACTTTGCATCAATGTGCAATGAAATAATTTGTGAAGTGGAACGTCAAGAATTAAATTTGACTTACAGTTGATCATAAACAAGTAACTGCTAATCACTTTGCAACAGCTTATATTTCCACTACAAGTGCTATACTGCTATCCGAAAAGTTTTTGCAAACACCATAGAATATTCTTTTTGGAAAGCTCTCAATTTCTGAATATGTATCACTTGATCATATCACAAACACAAACTTGAATGGCTTTAACTCCACAGGGGTTGTAGTCTTTACTGAGATGTGATCAACTCATGCTGTCTGATAATTGCAGAACATGCCATATGCAACAGGGAAGATTATTGTAATGCCATGACCAAAATTCTTTAAGTCCAAGGTTACTTCAGGAGCTTGCGTTGGGTATTCGGGTGGCCGAGTAGCGTAGGACATGGCTAAGGTGGCGGCAGCTCATGATCTTTATGGCTGGCGGACAACGGTAGCTCGTGCTTGTGGCTGGGGTGGTGGCTTGTCCTCGTGCTCATGAGCTCATGGCTGCAGCTGCGGTGGCCGTGCAGGATGGCACAAGTCAGCTTGCAGTGTCATGATAGGGTTGGAGCAGAAATCAGGAAATAAACAAGGGGTTATGGCTCATAAATGGTCTGGGTTGTACCAGACTGAATCCTATGAGGGTTTTTTTTTTCATTTCTATTTTTGGGTATGTCGGCCTGTTCGGGCTACCTGAAGTTGAAATCACAAATTCTGACCTCAACCCAAAGTTTGCTCTGAGATGAATATCAAACCTGGGCCCTCCCAAGGACCAAGACAGAGCCTGATGGGAAAGGTTTTTCCTGGTTGGGTTTGCAGTCCGAGTTGGTTGGGCCTGACTTGTGAGCCTTGGATTTCCAAACATCACCTCCAGGTTAACTTTTTGACATAATGCAAGGATGAAACTGGAAGCAGTGTGCTTTGAACTTGAGGGCTTGCCCCACATTGGGTTAGGCCATAAGGGAATATTAGACTCCCGGTGTTACAATTATTACAAACCTTTGTAATTTGTTCCAACAATATTCTGCATCTGGACTTTTTCTTTAAGAAAAGAGACTAAAAGGTCCTAACGGTGTTGGGTTGTAGCTTCCTAACAATTCCCAAACCTAAGTGCAATAAGTCCTAGATGTGTGCCCCCTGCAGATGAAAAGCTCAATATCAATGACTTCCCTACAAATCCATACTCCTTAGTACTTCCATGATCCATGTAGAATTTGTGCCAGAACTCATTAACCTATTCATCCAAGTCCACTCCGTACTATATTTGTGATTGTATATGATTGATGACCCATATCAGATCTTTCAGAGTGGCTTGTATATGTGTGCAACCACATAACCACACAAGGAATCTAATTTATATGTTATGTAGTGAAAACGTGCAATTATTAAAAACTAGCAATGCAATAAATATCCTATCAGACAAAAGGATGGAGTGGATAACAGTAAAAACATTGTAATTTTATGGGGGCATTAATGGTATGTTTATACCTTGTTAAACCCATGTTTGCATGGGTTTAACATGCAAACATGGGTTTTGCATCCATGGTGTTCGAGAAAAAAAATGTTTGCATCCATGGCTGCATGCTTTGTTGAGTTCTGTTCGTTTCTTATAGAATCTCATGTGTTCGCTCATTTTTTTTTTTTTGCCTTTTATTGATTCTCACATTGTCACAATTCAGCATTGTGGGTAATTGTTTTGCCATTGTATTCTAATTAGTTTGCTTTTATTGTTAGATTCAATCTTCTGTGCAAGCACCTCCTGCAGCAGCTTCTAAAACACCTCAGAGGAAGGCATCTTCTGGACAGAAGAAGCCTTTGGAAGCATTAGGCTCATCCCCTCCACCATCTAGGTAAGTTCAATGCCTTTTCTTAGTCTATAATTACAATCTGTTTTGCCTCTGATGTGTTTTATGTTTTGTCAGCAAAAAGCAGAAGGTATCTGGAGGTTTCCATGAACAAAGCATTGACCAGCTTAATGATGTCACTGCAGTTAGTGGTGTTAATCTGAGGGTACATGACTTCTTATTCACCTGTTATGTTTATTTGCTTTGTGCATGACATTTGCCATGTAGCACCTATTATTTGATGAATTTTGAAGGTATAACAGTTTGTCCTTTCTGCCAGGAAGAAGAGGAACAACTTTTCTCTGGTCCAAAGGAAGAGAGTCGAGTTTCAGAAGCTGCTCGGAAAGTTGTTCAACTAGAAGAAGAAAAGCTCATTCTACGGAAGGGACCCCTGACCCAAAAATTAGCAGTAATCAGTTAAGACCTCCATCATTTTATGTTTCACTTGATAAAAAAATTTTGGCATCTATTCTCTGACTATGATGTTTGGGCAGTGAGTAAATGTAATTTGAAGGTCATTGGCACTGATGTGGAACGCTGTCTGTCCATGGTGAGATTATCCTGTAAAACGCTAAAAGCCTTTCCTGTTTTGGCTTATGTATATCTAACTTAAAATTTTACCAGTGTGTTGAGGAGAGGTTACGGGGGTTTATAAGCAGTATAATAAGGTTCTCAAAACAGGTATGGTATCTTTAAATTCATTCAGTTTTCCTTCCCAATAAACTATCTGAGATTTTGAATTCACTAAACATGTTCTTATTGTCTGTAGAGGGTTGATGTTGAAAAGTCAAGGCATCGTTTTTATCCGTTATCCTCAGATGTTCGCAGTCATATTATGAGGGTGAACCGAGAAGCAAGAGAACAGTGGGAGAAAAAGCAGGCTGAAGATGCTGAGCGAATTAGGAAACAAAATGATGTTAGTTCTGTACGATGTTTCAGTTTGATTTTTAATCTCTGTTCACATAAATCATGATTTAATGATCTAAGTTGAATAAGGAACGCTTGCCTCTTTTACTGGAACAGTTTTACCACTTATAATATTCATTTGCCAATATATGTCATGTGCAAGGTTCTTAAGGAGTCACCTAGCCGACAAGGCATATCTAGGTAGCCACAAGTGCCTCTTGCCTCCTATGTGTCGCCTAGGTGACAAGGCGTAACCAAGTCCCCACAGGATGATTACTACCTTAAGAACCTTGGTTATATGTAGTTTAACACTTCCCTAGTATGTGCTAATGTTTATGTCAAGCAAGTTTGCTAGTAAATATATGGTTAATAACTGGAGTTTCTGATTCCAAATCACATCCATTGTTGAATGATACATTTGGTATCCCACACCAAACTACATGTGGCTGATCAGTAACCACATATAGCATGAGGCAGATTCCGATTGGCCACCTTTTTCCCCGTTAAACAAAAACTGTTTTGACCTCTTTCTTAAGTGAGATTCCTTTACTCATACTGCCTTAAGAGCAATGGCCTCATGCTTCTTCAGTGCATCATCTTTTGGAAGATACTATGACAATTATCAGATGTCTGAATTAGTGTTCTTGGTGTAGCTTTCAGGACTGGGTAGTTTTAATGAGTGTATTTGTATGTGCAGGGAGATGGCAATGCAAATGTTGATATAGAAAAAGACAAAAACGAGACCCGTGGTTTGTCAAAGCATGCAAAGGTTAGTCTCTGTCCATAGTAATGGGATACTTGTACACTAGAGCTGTTGATGATTCTGTTTATTGTATACAGACTTACAAGGAGGACGATGATAAGATGCGAACTACAGCTGCAAATGTTGCTGCACGTGTTGCAGCTGGGGGAGATGACATGCTGTCAAAGTGGCAGTTGCTAGCTGAACGAAATAAGCAGAGAAGTGAGGGAGGTGATGGTTCTTCTGGCTCTGTACCAGGTAACATGTTGCAACACAGGCCATCACTGAAATCTGGGAAAGACTTGAGGGAAGAACAGGAAGTTGAAAATAGAGGCTACTCCACAATGCTTGGATCTGGTAAGCCTGATCTCCTTTCTCTTGTATTCTTGCTGTTAAACAAGAGTGCACTGCACATGAGTGGTCTGTATTCTCTTGTTTTGAATTTTGAACACATAACCATATAGTCTTATAATAATTATTAGAATAGTGATTTGCAACTTGATATAAACACTAAATTTGCGTACCGTGAGCCCAATTTAGTCGGTCGATGTTGTTCAAGGTTAGTAGTAGGGTTCCGAGTGTGTGTATGCTGTCTGGGTGGCTTGTCCGCTTGTGTATATGTCAAGTTGGCTAAGTTTACCTTTTGTATTCAGGTGATACCATGATATTAGTAGTTGAGACATTTCTCAACAATAAGATGCTTATTCTGCTATTTGTTTATACAGACTGAAACTTCAAACTTATAGACTTCCCTGGTAACAGGGAAATGCAGTGCACAGCATCCTTTGTATCCTTTTATTTTCATTCATTGCTGTTATAAGTGTGCGATGGTGTGGGTCACCTCAATGTTCTTTTGGGAAGAGCTCCGCAACTTTTTTTTTTTTTTTTGAACGCAATAGAACTCTGTAACTCGCTCAAGCCTCACATGTTACCTCATATGGTTAAGATTTTGTTTTTATTGTTATAAATCATCAATTTGTTATTCAAATGGTAGCATAGGGTTGTCAGAACACTACAGAACCTAAATTTTGTTTCTGTGCAATTGCAATTATTTTAGTTTTTTTGAAGGAATCTGTCTAAGATATATGTGCTGATTAAAAGGAACTTGACGCTTTTAAGCCCATTCATTTATGATTTTCTTAAATGAAGCAAAAATTCAGCAGTAGTACCATTTGGGATTCATTCTAAACAAACTCTGAATGACATGAAAATGGTGAAGGACTTGAGAGATCATGTTCCCTACAAAGTTCGTGACGAGAAAATATGAATGGAGTGCTTGAAATAGCACTCCCAGCTCATCGTCCTTGTACTCAAAATAACTTAAACATCTTATGCAAAGAAAAATATATTTGCATCTTTGGACCCATGAAATGTTAATTGGCGAGTTGCAGATGTAGAATTTATGAGCCTAATGTGCAAAACATCTGTGTATGCCCTGCCATCTATGTCATCCCTGGATTTCTATTTTGAAGTTGTGTACACTTATCCATTTTAAAATGTTAGTGATGTGCCATTCTACCAACGCTAATTCAGTAAAAACTAGAAATATTCTTTAAAATGACCTCATTTCAAATTCGATAGAACCTCAGACGATAATACCATTCCTTTGTTATCAGGGTACCATCAAATAATCTAAGTTGATTAAACTTGTATAATGTATAAACAACACATATTCTAGAATGTAGGATATGAACAAATTTATTTTAAATACTGAATTTTCTAGGTTAGGTCAAACTGAGTAATATCTACCATGCATGTACTAGTTTGTTTTCTTAGTTATAAATCTTTTGCAATTTTTCTAGGTGGTGTTAGAAGGTCACCTCTAACAAAAGTGGTGCGGAGTGTTTCCATAAAGGATGTGGTCGCAGCACTTGAGCGAGAGCCTCAGATGTCAAAATCCTCGTTAATTTTCCGGCTATATGGAAGGCCATTGACAGAACCATCTGCAAAGTAATTTGCAGTAAAATCATTGCATAACATATTACAGAGGGGCATCTTTTGGTCAATATGAGGCCCAATCACCAAGCGATGGGGCTGATTGGTTGACGATCAATTTTGCGGGGATTTGACGATTACTTGCAAGCCAGCGTTTCCCTGGAGCCATTTTTGTTTTTCAAGGGAAGTCTGCAAATGTTTCTTTTTTTCAGTATTTTTTTCTCTATATAATTATCTGTTGGCAACAGTGCCCAGCCAACTTCAGCTGGCATGAACAACGTGATCGTTTTGTATAGCAGATGGAGTAGGATGTTCCTTGAGATGCTTATGACTTGCCAAGTGTCCTATTCTTTTATCATGCGATAGAATTATAACCAACATTTTTCACCGTTGTACAGAAAACATGAAATGTATGTATTGGAGGCTTGAATTTATTCATGAACAATATGTACCCTCATTTCTGAATGGATTGTTTGGGTTTGCAAAATATCAACACAGCTGCATAAAAGCAGCTATCCATCGAGATAAATCAGCCAAGCAGAACTTGTCTGAATACATTTTTTATGCTGTTGTCTGAATGCACACAGAATATCAGAACCTGCTATGGCACCCTCAAATCTTGTCTGAATATTATACATTTATATAGTCACGGTATTCTTCAAGCTAGGTTTCTATTGGTACTACTATCTTGTTTTTCCTCCTTACAACTAGGGGCGGGATACGTTGTTGATTGTTGTGCATCAGCATCGCATCTAACATCCAAAGTCATAGGGAACCAATCCTTGTAGCTCTGGACCGTTGAGCCTGCTGTTGTTCTCAAAGCTGGAAAGTAGAGATGTGTTAGCGCTTTATCAAAATCATATGGATTCACATCGAAGTTCTAGTGGTTGAGGAAAATACAAGTTCAACGATCTAGCATTGAAACAATGTGATATCAATGTATAGTCTAGCTGACATAGGTTCTAATCAATCTTGTGCAATGTTTGATGATATATCAACCCAGTCATAAAAACATGTCATCTAGGATAAGATTTGGTCAAAACTGCAAACATCAATAACTTTAAATTTATTTAATTGGAAACGTGTACGATATATGTGTAGATTTGTATCGGAACACACTTGCAAAATCTCATAAATTTGGAAGATCTTAAGAGCACATTCTCGAAGATAAAAGCGGTCAGAGATGTGCAAAGTCCGGAGGTAGTATTCCTTTAGGGATGACATTAGAGAATCGAAATCTAGCAAAAATGCAAAATCCAGCTGTTGTTTCAATCTGTCGGCGTTTTCCACAACATATGTAGTCATATATATTGAATACTATCTGGTACTGGTAGTAAGTCAGCTTTGAGGCATACCTTCGGAGAGGAAAGGTTGAGAAAGGCCCATCAACAGGAATAGTTCCACAGAGATCATTGTTAGACAAATCGCTGCATGTCAGAGGATATACCAACAATCAGTGACCATGGAAACTAAAGAAACAGCTGAATATGATAAAGGTCTACACTCACATGACTTTCAGGTTGGAGAGCTTGGCAAACTCCCTTGGAATTGATCCTGTAAGCTTGTTGTTGTTCAAGCGCCTATCAAGAGAAACACAACTAAGTTTCAGTAATCAGCTGAGAAAAGCTTTTTGTCGTGCTCATAGAGATCCAAACCAAATTCCTTTTTGACTTGAATTATCACAAAAACCACTTGTCCATTTCTAACTCAGAATGAACTGAGAGTACTTGACTACTTGCTCTTCTAAAAAGCAAGGCATGGCTTTTGTGGTTAGCAAAGCAACCGTTGAGAAGATACATACATGAATCTGAGTGAGTCGAGCTTGGAAAGTGACTTGGGGATTCCTCCAGTGAGCTTGTTGGCATACAAGTCCAAGCTGATCAGATTCTTCAGGTTGCCCAGTTCCTTCGGGATCTCGCCGTCAAGATTATTCCTGTATAGCTCCCTGCAGATGAAAATCCAATTTCCATTAAAACTCAATCAAACTCCACTCTCCATCAGAAATTCTAGAACTCAGATAATACGTACAGGTATCTGAGGTTGACGAGGCGGCCGAGCTCAGGGCCGATGGAGCCGGAGACGTTGGAGTTGCCTAAATCCCTGAAACAGTTGTCACAAAGGACAGAGTCAGATAACATGATCATCGAATTCTTAACAAGATACAAGTTAAGGTACGAAAGCTTGGTATTCGTAGTTATGCTCCTAGAGATGTTTTGGGGGAAAAAAAAAGAAGAAAAAAAAAAAGAAATCCCCCCGTCGTCGTAGGAATGGGCAATTTGGGGGCCAACGGACCAAGAAATTGTAGAAGAACAGGTCATTGGAGGACTAGACCGTCCAATCATCCATTGTTATGGCTCCACACGTAATCTGTGAGGCACATATCAGCTGGGCACCCTGGATCTCGGAAACAAAGATTTGTCTCCAGGCGGGTCGCCGTGTGATCAATTCAAAACAGGAGCCGATGGCCTTTCTCCTTTTGAAGATGCAATCCAACCATCGAATTCTTATACCAAGAGCCAAAGTTACCGAACAGAGACGTTCAATCCATACAGGAACACAAGGAACCTCGGATGGATAGCGGAAGCAAGGGGGAGATCGCCGCCGGTGGCGTGCAAGAGAAGAGAGAAGAGAGAAGAAGAGAAGAAGGGAAGAGGGAGAACTCACAGGCGGACGACTCGGCTGGCCTGGTCGCAGGTGACGTGGAACCAGGTGCAGGGGTTGACGAGCGTGGGATCCCAGCTCTGCAGCACGCCGTTGGGGTCGGACAGCCGCTGCCGCAGCGCGTAGAGCGCGTCGCCCTCGTCGTTGGACGCCCGCGCGGGCGCGGTGGAGACGGCGAGGGCGAGGGCGAGGAGCGCGGCGAGGACGCGAGCCGCCATCGTTGCCTGTTGGTTCTGCGCTCTGCTGCTCTCCGGTGGGAAAGGAAGGAAATGGGGGCAGAGGAGAGGAGGGCAGCTCGGAAGCGGCGGAGCTAGGAAGGATGGGGGATGGGAGTATGGGAGCCGCCGGTTCAGCTTCAGCTTTGTGCTGGTGGAGGAAGTGGAAAAGGGCAGGAAGCTCAGAAGCTGCGTGCACTGGGTTCAGCTGTGGCTGTGGACCTGTGGGCGGTCAAGTCAGCACAACTACAGTACAGCGGGACGGCGACGGGCGGCAGAGGGCAGTGCAAGTCCACGGTCCATTGTGGACCAAGCACGACGAGGGGAGGGACCGAAATGCGATGCGTACCCGGCGGGGGTTCCCGCTCATGCTCTGCACCTGAGTAGTAACCCTTATATTCATGCAAATTACTCGTAGTACGAATGGGAAGAGGCACGGAATTTCTCCGTTGCCTTTCTCCATGATTCCGCCGGAGTCCCCCCAGGCCCCAGTTACGTAAACTGAAAATCAGGTTGGTCTTGGGAACTGCTCATGTCTGGCTCAGAGTTCAGACCATGCATGTTCAGCGCTGGGTACATGCTATACTCTTAGAGACAAAGGCCCTGCTGCACACAGTACTTTCCAGCGAACGAAGAGGGCTTTTCTCTCGCAACAAATCAGCATAAGCCAAATTCCAGCGAAACAAACAGCAGCAAAATAAGTAGCCCGGTAAAAGACCACCTTACCTCTCACTAATTAGGATGAAGGGAGTAGTTCAATTGCTATTTCCTTAATTATCGACCAGTTGTTTAGTATTTCCTACCATAAAGACAGAGGAGAGAGGGGGTTCATGATATAGAATATTTTGTATTTTGATACAAATTTTCCTTAATTCGGTATACTTTATATTTCAGGGTGGAGGGAGTAACTTGTTTCTATAGTAAAATCAATCCTCCATGCTATGTCCTCCGTTATGTATTTTTTTCCATGGTATTTTCATGTTGTTTTTGCCAAAGAACATGGGGAAGACATATTGTCTACCAAAGCTAACATTCTCTCACGAAGAGCGTATTGGTTTTGGCTCTGAGCAGTGGCGGATCCAAAAATTGTCTTGGACCAGGGCTAACTCAGCTAAATTAGTCATAATGTTTTGAAATTTTATAACGTCTACACTTTTTATTAAGCAACTCTAGTGATTTTTTTGCTTCTCTAGGACCAGGGTTGCAACACAGCCAGTCCAGGCCCTAGATCCGCTTCTGGTTCTGAGCCACTAAGTATATATAAGAAGATTAGGGTAGCTATAACTTTTTGTTTCGGTTTTTTTTTCTCTTTCCGTTCTGAAATATAGTGTGTTATGACTTCTAAAATTTATAATAAAATATAATGCATTTTAGTGACATATATACTCATATTTGGCAAAGTCCGTTAAAAAGAAAACCATGATTTGAGAAGAAACTCTTCATTGGATTTAATCCATGGATACATACATCATTTAATAAGTATTTACTTAATTCATGTTAAAATTTCTAGAATGTGTTATATATTACACGATAGAGGGAGTATGTATTAATAGAAAAGGAAGACGATTTTGGCTTTAAGTCATCACAAAAATAAGATGGCGAGATGACAGGGAGATAATTGTTTGTAACTTCCTTTTTTCCTCCTTCAGTTTATGCTTGGGTTCAATTTACGATTGAACAGTTGTAGGATGAACATAAGGGATAATAACAATTATTGTAACATTTTTTCCTTTTTGTTTGGTTTTATAGTTCAGGAGGGGCGGGGGACGTAGCTTTGTTTTAAGCAATGTCAGTGTGCGCCTGAGGGCATGTAATCGATGATAATGACAGGACAAGTAATCGAGTGGAATGCACACACTCATTTTCTCTTCGGAACTACGGCGTTCATCAAGTACAAGTTCCTACATAAGTTAGGTACTAATCCACATCCACACGTGATCTATCTATATCTCTTGTAAAGTTAATTCTCACCACGAGTCTATTTTAACATGCAAGCTATCCACATTATCACCCACTAATTATCCACATCATCTTTACTAATAGACATGTCATCCTACTACTTTCAACATCTTAATACAAGTTATCCATATCATCTCCACTTAATTTTATTCCAAATTATTCGCAATTCCCACATTAATGTACGGGGTATCTTCTAGTATTTTCTATATGCGATGGCAACAGGATATAAAGCTCAAATTATTAAAGGCACAACTAAGGTGACATATATAATACTAAGGGCATTTGGATTCATTAGTATTAAAAATTACGAGCTAAAACTAGTACTAGAAGATCAAACAAACATGCTAATAAACCTACTAATTATTTGTTGTAGGGTTGTTAAGGTTCTATTTGGATCCTATAGATAAGGCCCCGTTCGCTGGTCTGAAACTTAGCTGAAACTGGCTGGTTTTGTGAGAGAAAACACTGTTTGACTGGTTTTGATGAATAGTGAATTGAGTGGGCAACCAGCCGGCTGGTCTGATTGTTTCAGACCAGCGAACACGCCCAATAGTTATCTTGCTAGTAGTTATTTCTTTTGGATCCAAACAGGTGATGCTAATAAAGTAGCTAATTATTAGCTAGACCTGTAGATAACAACTACCTTACTAGCTAGTTGGACCAAATCAGATAATAACAGCTAATATTAGCTATGTGCTATTAGCTAGCTAACTACTATCAGCTAATGGATGGCCAAACTAACTATTAGTTCCATTAGCAAGTTTTGAGTTGCTAATAGGTGCTAATAGTTCACACGCACCTTTAACTCACTATATCTAACCACCTATTAGCAAGTGGATTCAAACAACCCTCTACTAAAAATTAGTAGCTATTAGCTATTAACTTGCTCAAGCTAATGGATCTAAACAGGCCTCCTCCGTAATAATTTGTCCATAGGTTTGATTTCAGTGTCCGTACGCCAAATCAACAGCTCTCACTACTATAGTACAGGAGAAATTTAAAACCGCTAAGTTTGCAGTACGTGGTCGATCGATCTCTGCTGTGAACGCCTGTACGTTAATTCGTGGGCGGGCGGGCGAGCGTGCATGCACAGCCACAGCTCAAATCGGTGGCTCCGAGATCCGGCAAAAACGCCCACCGTCGCCGGGTCGCGCGCGGCGCAACGTGTCGCGTGGCACCGCGACCGCCTCCACCGACATCGTCGCGGGACGCAGCGACCATTTCCTCTTCCTCCGCGCATGCATGTCCGTCGCCGTCCCCCCGTACGTCTTGTCCCGTCGTCCCTATATACGGTAAACGCACAAGAGATAACTAGCGAGTGTGCGCGTGAGATCGAGGAGAGAAGGCAATTAACAGGTCGGGGCTAGCAGCAGGGACAGAGAGCGAGAGGTTGGTCAGGACGAAACCTGCAGGATGGATGAGGAGTACGACGTGATCGTGTTGGGGACGGGGCTCAAGGAGTGCATCATCAGCGGCCTCCTCTCCGTCGATGGCCTCAAGGTTGGGTACTTGGGTGCATGATATGATTCTTCTTCATTCCGATCCAGCCCGTCCTTGTTTTTTTCTCTCTTTTTCTTGCCAGTGTGAACCGGACGGGATCCAACCGTCAATGTTTGTTTATTTCTTATATAATATATGTGATGACACAGGTTCTTCACATGGATAGGAATGATTACTATGGTGGAGAATCTTCATCTCTGAATCTGACTAAGGTTTGATATATCTATCGCGTCATCGTGGACGGCGGAGCATTGTCATTAATTTGTACTCTGTGCACTCTCTAAGGACGAATAATTCTATCTAAACATCATCTGGATCCATGCATGCATCTTCTGAGAAACAAAGACACGAGTTTAAAATTTCCCAATTATATATCCTTTTTGCCAAACAACATCTTCAATTTCATGCCCTTATTGTTGTTTGGGATCACATAAATGAAGCACCAATTCAGTTTACTGTCATGCACATCCATGAATTCTTCACTTTCGAAATTGTGTAGCTAGCCATTCTAATTTACAATGTTTCCGTCCGGTGGTATGCATGGTGCATTTAGCTCTGGAAGAGATTCAAAGGCAATGACAGCCCTCCTGAGCATCTCGGTGTCAGCAAAGAATACAATGTTGACATGGTACCCAAGGTCTGTTACCTGAGATCTCTCTATTGCTAGCTAGCTGCCCTATAGAATGTTTGGTTCTGCACAGTTCAAAATAAGTTCTGAATTTACAGTTCATGATGGCAAATGGTGCGCTGGTTCGTGTTCTGATCCACACAAGTGTGACAAAGTATCTAAACTTCAAGGCTGTTGATGGAAGTTTTGTGTACAATAATGGGAAGGTATGAGTTTGATATTTAGATATAATCCAACTGTGAAACATATGTATGCATGCTGATTCACTCTTATTAATTTCTTTGTTCATACTGATAGATTCACAAAGTCCCTGCAACCGATGTTGAAGCTTTGAAATCTAACCTGATGGGTCTATTTGAGAAGCGCCGTGCTCGCAAGTTCTTCATATATGTGCAGGATTACGAGGAGGATGACCCAAAATCTCACGAGGGCCTGGATTTGAACAAGGTCACCACCAAAGAAGTCATCTCGTAAGTTGCTTTCACTTGTGCTGCATTTCAGTTGTTCGATCTTGAGACCAAGTTAGAAAGCCAACTTGTATTGTTTTGCCACCATTTGTTTCCTAATGCAAAAATTAAAATGTTCTCTTGGATCAGAAAATATGGATTGGAGGATGATACAGTTGACTTTATCGGGCATGCATTAGCGCTTCACCGGGATGATAGCTACCTGGATGAGCCTGCAATTGACACTGTCAAGAGAATGAAGGTACTACATTGTCATACTTTGCTATACACAACACAATTATGCTATGCTGAATGGTACTTGATTCATCTTTTAAGGAAAATGTTGACATCCTAAACTATATCACTAGAAGGTAGTTTTCAAAAACAATATCCTACTATATACTACCTTGGAGCTAGATATAAGGGATTCTGAATTTGTCCAAAGTCAACTATCCTAAGTTTGGCCAAGTATATAGCAAAGAAAAATAATATTTATGGTATCAAATAAACTTCAAATGTAGAGGCTGGGATGTTTTAATTTATTCCGTTATCTAATAAGAAAAATACATGATTGGAAATCCTCTTGTAATTGCACACTACATATGTTTAATTGAGAGAAAATTCTACAACCCACATTACATTTTTTTTCATCGGTATAAATTATTCCTTAGATTACATATTTGCACAATAAATATTTCAATGTCTTGAATCATGATGGATGTTGATAGGGTTATAGAGAGAAACAAAATCAAAACATGTTCCTAATGTTGATCTTCTATTTCAATAGCTTTATGCAGAATCACTTACACGCTTTCAAGGAGGGTCCCCTTACATCTACCCTCTATATGGGTTGGGAGAACTCCCCCAGGTATGCCCTATAAAGCTATGATGAATCAACTAACTACTTTTTAAGCTTCATTATGAACTGAAATGATACATGATGTGAAAGGCTTTTGCCCGTCTGAGCGCTGTTTATGGTGGCACGTACATGCTGAACAAGCCAGAATGCAAGGTAACTAAAGTATTTCAGCCAACACACAACATGATAATTCTCAAATAAAATGGTAGTTCAAAACTTCTGACAACTGTGCCAAATTTGCAAACTTGTTGCAGGTTGAGTTTGATGAAAGTGGAAAAGCATATGGAGTCACTTCTGAAGGGGAGACTGCAAAATGCAAGAAGATTGTTTGTGATCCTTCATATTTGCCTGAAAAGGTATATGTGTAGAGAATTGGTGAGTCACTTGTACATGGCTTCAATTTCTAAAATGCTTAAACCAATGAACAGGTGAAGAAGGTTGGAAGGGTGGCCCGTGCGATATGTATTATGAAGCATCCAATCCCCGACACCAAGGATTCACACTCTGTGCAGATCATCCTCCCAAAGAAGCAGTTAAAGCGCAAATCAGACATGTAAGTCATCTTGTGCAAGTAGTGCAACAAATTTAAAAGAAATTGTAAAATAAGACCTGCTATTTATTTATAGTTTATTCTTGTTTCGCATAAGGTTTTACTTGTTTATGATAAACTAGTATATTAATATTAGAACAGATCACATATAGATGCCCCTTTTCAAATAACTTGAATTATGGTGTTCCATTGCAGGTATGTGTTCTGCTGCTCTTACGCTCACAATGTTGCACCGAAAGGCAAGTTCATTGCTTTCGTTTACTGAAGCTGAGACTGACAAGCCCGAGATCGAGTTGAAGCCTGGGATCGATCTGCTTGGCCCTGTAGAGGAGACATTCTTTGACATCTATGACAGATATGAACCCATTAACAATCCAGAGGAGGATAGTTGTTTCTTGACAAATGTAAGTACATGTACCCACAATTTTATAGTAAAAGACCACACTACTGATGTGTTGGTAAGTAACTAAGTACACCTTCATTTTGTAGAGCTACGACTCAACCACTCATTTTGAGACAACGGTAAAGGATGTACTCGCCTTGTACAACAAGATCACTGGAAAGGTACCTTATTATCACAGGCATAGAGAATCACAAATATATTTTATTCAAGTAATGTTACAATATAAATTCCTTCAGCTAACAATTGAACAAACCTACACTGATGCAATGCAGGAGCTTGATCTTTCAGTCGATTTGAATGCTGCTAGTGCTACTGAGCAAGAAGCTGCTTGAACATCCTCTATTTTGCAGCTCTACACGATAGCTACTTCTTCTACTTTTAAATTATCCCATAGATGGATAAGTTTCATGTAAACCATTGTCTCATGCTTTTGGAGTTCCATTTTTGTCACTTCCAATGAACTACAGTCGCACGGATTTATAAATGTTCCATTATTCACTGGTGAAAAGATAGCTTAAAGTGCCCAAAATTCCTTATTTGAAATGAGTCGTTCCTTTCTTGGCCCTGAAATTTTCTTCTTTCCTTATTTGACACTCACTTGAACTTTCATCCCTAATATGACACCGCAGTCAAATCCGTTAGCTAACGGTGTTAAGTGGCTGTTAAAAAGACCTTTTGCCCACAGGTATTTGGCGCATGCATGCAGCGCATCTTGAGCCTGCCGAGCCGCATGACATGCGGCGTGACGCGCCGGTGACGGATCTGCTGCATGTTGGCGTCCAGGCAAAAGGTCTTTTTGCATACCACTTAACACCAAGAAAGCTAACGGATTTGATCATGTGTCATATTAGGGATGAAAGTTCAAGTGAGTGTCAAATAAGGAACGAAGAAAATTTCAAGGCCAAGAAAGGAACGACTCATTTTCCCAGTGTCAAATAAGGAATTCTCTCTTTGTTTATTTGAGTTACTCTGATTTGTCCCCATCGATTCACCCAAAAGTCCAAAAACCTAGAAATGCAAGTCAGTTATGAAATTGATGTTGATTAGGAGCCAATAAGTAGAGGGACACTTTTTTTCTCTCAATTGAACCAAAGTTGTAGTACTCGAAGGGTTCAACAACTTTGTAGTTGACTCTATTTTTATTTGAAATCATTTAGTGTTTAGATTTGAAATTCATTTTTTTAAAAATTTTCAAAGTACCTCGGATGATGAAATGACCTAAAGCAAAGTTTTAGTACTTGAAGAGATGTTCAATTTTATAGTTGATGATGTTTTCATTTAAAATCATTTAGGTCCGATAAATTTTGTTTTAAAATTAATGATTTTGTTTTTTTGAATTCTTAAAATGATCTTGATGTAAAAATGACCTAAACCAAAGTTATAGTACTCAAAGAGATCTAAAACTTCACAGTTCAATCATTTTCATTTGAATTCATTTAGGGTCTCAAATATGTATTACAATATTTAATAAAGTGAATACAAAGGGAAGTATAAGCCATTTAGTCATAGGAGACTTTGAGTGTAGTGGTAAACTAGAGGTGGTGAGTTGGATCCCCTGTGGCCGCATGCATGTGAAAATCATGATTTTTAGCTATTCTTTGGCCTAATTTATGAATTCTGAATTTTTTTTTGCCCAATCATCATGTGGCACCATGCACAATCAATTTATGACTTGACCATAGTAGTTGAGTGGTCACAGCATAATCTGGTGGTGACTTCATGACACCTCGGCAGATAATCTGGTGAGGCACGGACTTCATTGTGTGTTAAGTGGCCAATTCACTTATGTGCACCGCATGGTTAGGTGGTGACTAAGTGACACTCGATGGATCAACTAGTGAGGCCTTGTCTTGACTGTGCGTCTAGTGGGGCCAAGTTACTGGTGTGCACATTTTGATCTGGGGGTGACTTCATGACCCTCAAAGGATCATCTAGTGATGGTGTGCCTCGACCGTGTGTCGAGTTGGCCAAGTCACTGGACCACACCATATGATTTGGTGGTGACTTCGTGACACCCAGCGAATCATATGATGAGGTTTATTTTGATATATTCCCTTCTAGCCGTTGAAAATAGGAATACATAGGATCACCATATGGTCTGGTGCGATTGCGTGACGCCCGACAGATTATCTGGTTATGTCTATGTCTCTAGACTTTTTTTAACGGCTAACAAGGCATTCACACCGTATATATGTGCCATTCCTAACTAATTTGGAGCTATTCTTTCACCTCAGCTATGAGACATGTGGAGGGACATTGTGAAGTGTGTGGGAGCCATCCAAGCCAAGTTTGCCAACTGTGAGAGTATGCTTTTGTGTCCATTCGATGTTATTGGCTTGGTTTTCATCAAGGTGTTACTAAAGACTTGTTATTCTTGGTATTTTCTAGACATAGGTGGACCGACGGAGGACTGGGTGACCTTCCCGATGGAGTTTCTTATTGGGAGGCTCCTATTGGTGTACATTGTTTTATCTGTTGTTCTGGAATAAAGAATGAGTATTCGCTAGTGGTGACTTGAGACTTCGTGACTCAAGGAGCTAGATTGAGTCTTTTTTACTCTTCAGTGCTCTAACGTGGACTAGGGGTTGTGGCAACTAGCAACAACCCGTTACCACGGAAAATAATCTACTTGTCTCTTTACATCTTTTATGTTCTTGCATTACTCTCATGTCTCAAGGTTGTGTTTTGCTACTTATTGTGTTCAAGTTCTTTTTTTACAACTAGAATTATATGTTAGAGCGTGCTTAGTAATAGGTTTACTTTTCACACATAAGGACCCTTCTCTTTTAAGGACATGTTTTAGTATCCTGAGGATTTCTTAGTGTGATCGTTTTAGTCTTAGGTGCCTTTATGCAAGCGGGTGAAATAGTTTTGTGTATGCTAAGATTATTGTTGCTTCATTTTTTTAAGCCCGATTCAGCCCCTTCTATTAGACCATTGGGTTCTTCTAGACATGCTAACCCTAAGCTGACATGCATCAAGCCAGCCCTTTTCCTGCTGGTGTACACCCAACAACATTTACCTCTAACTGTATGGTTTTTGTGTCTGCCATTCTTCATAAACTAGATCCATTCTCTTGTTTTAATAATCTTTCAGCAAAGCAAATATTTCTGACGTTCTTTTCGGAAAAAAAAAAACTTTAACTCTAGGGTTTGTGGCTCTCATGTACATCGGCAGGGTGGACAAAACATTTTCCAGAGAGCAGGTCGAAGGGGGCACTTCGGTCCTCGCCGTGGATGTGGCGCCCAAGCGCGTAGGCGGGCCCACTTAGACAATTCAAAGTCTTCGGATTCTTTATATATTCGGTCGTCCAGTGAACGAATCCAGCTGGTCCACTGAACCATCATCATGCACTGACTCTGCCCGACATGGACAACGTGCTGCGAGCCTGCAAAATAAAGCAAAGGCCACCACCACAAAACCAAACATCACGGCAGGCAAAGGCAGCTATGCCCAACCAAAGCACAGAAAGGCATGACTCTAGAGGGACATAAAGCATTGACTAGCACGGTCTATTGTTTTTGGAACCCACTCACTTTTTAAGAGGACAATTGGTAATGCCTAGTGCAATGTTTCTCCTTTTCTTTTCGGATTCTGATGGCATCCGTTCATGAGAATTTTCATATAAAAAAAACGATCATGGATGAATTCGAGTGCATGGTCTCATGGTCTTGCATACCAGACTTGTTCGGCAGCTGATTTTTACACTGCTCTGCCTCTCACACAAATGCTGTGATGACAGCCAGCAAACAACTGCTTTTACAAACAGGCGAACAGGTTAACTAAGGGCGTCCACAGTGGGCGCATCCCGGTCCTATACTTTCCCAACACATAACAGATGAAGGCGTTGAAGTCACTTGATTTACTTAGTTATAATCGTTATGGACAAATCTAAAGTGACTACATCTAGAATCAGAGGAAGAAATTTTTTTTTATCTTGAAACCAGATGTCCAAAAACAATTGTTACAAGCGTAAAGTGTACTAAGATGTCAGTACATATTACGCAATCAGCACCTGAAATATTAAGGGCTGGACATGGGCCTCAAGCCCTCAACTACTGGGCTGTATAAGGCTGGAGGATCACCTAGGCACACCTCTTCGCGATTGGAGCAACCACAGCATTTGGCGGGGTAAATACACGTATCGTCGAGAAACCAAGCTTTTTCAAATTTGACTAGAAGATGACAATATGTGGAGATCTAATTATAGAAAACTTTTGGAAGACATTTTTTTTTCTCTAGCCCCAACGTCTCAGGTTATATTCTTGATCGGTAGGACCTTAATTCCTACCTGTATTTGTCCTAAAACGGGTTTCCACATTAATCTAGGTCTGATTCATCACTGACCACGTTCCGCCTCAAGCAAGAAGTGCACATGAAAAAACACGAACCACGTACGAGCACAAATTCGCGAACCACATATGGGTACAAGTTCTCAACGGACTCAAGCGCCAGCACAGTGGTTATTAGAGTATAAGCTAGAAACGCTAGTCGACCTGCTCGACATTACAGCTATACGAAACAGTTACTATTACACAATTATACACTAATATTAAGCTATTTGGGAAAAAAGTAAATAACTGACATCATAACACACGTGCATGTTTATGGACTAGTTGCTAAATGGGTCAGGCATACCTTCGGAGTAAAACTACGAGAAATTGTATTTGCAAAGGAATTCTTGTGCTTGGCAGGACGCACAAACGAAGAACATGCAAACTGGCACAATTCTCACGGACCAGTAATCTGTTTGGACATGAAAATCATCGTTCCGAAACCAACCAGGTTTTAACAGCAGACAATAGGTTTCACTGGAAGTGGACACCACATCACTTTCTTATGTATAGGTTAACATAGGACAGGACGCATGATTGGCGGCAGGCAACACGGAATGAACACCCTCGGCACAGGCAAAGCTCCTGACCTCCTGTACTGATTGTGAGCAAACCGCATGGCTAACAGACACATTTCCTCAACTCCATGACCACGGCACTGGTTGCTAGTTCAGGCTTTTCACTTCTTCAGATGGGGGAAGCACTGGTACACGTCAGTCTTTGGATGCTTAGCCTCGGCATGCTCCCGGCACTTCACTTCAGTCGTGGTACACATGAATGTTTGCATGCATACTTTGCACTGTGTTCAGGTCGGCCAAAACGAAAAATACTTCAGACACCAGCTTGTGAAAATATGCAACCGAGACAAAAAAACTTGCAGAATTACTTCAGTTTGAGTACATCTAGAAACTTTGAACTCCTCTATTAAACGTGAACTACAAGGAAATTGATACAGCTTGCATGGAACTACTGGTGCTAAACAGTGTTCCAACCAAGACTAAAAACTTGCAGAACTACTTCAGTTTGAGTACGTCTAGAAATTTTGAACTCCTCTATTAAACGTGAACTCTAACAAGGAAACTGATACTGCTTGCATGGAACTACTGGTGCTAAGCAGTGTTCCATGGTGCCATCTAATGTCCCCTAAATACTTAAATGCATATCTAGGCCCAAATGTGACTAAGCCAGTTAAATATGCCCAGGCACGTCATGCAGGCAAGTACATATGAATTAATGAGATTTTGGACCTCAAGCGGCACACTTAAACAAATTTTAGACTCATCCACAATTTGAGAGTTTAGGGATCTCCATAACACTGTGAATAAGTTGTAGCCCCCAAATATAGATTCAAAGCATCAAACAGTTCAAGACAGCAGACACGATTGATGTTTTGCCTGAGAAGAAAATAGAGCACAGTCCAGGTTCAGTTCGAATTCCAATTCCAAGCATTGGATAGGAATCTAGTGCCTGATGTAGAACAGTTTGCACAGACACAACCAATGGACTAAGTTGTTTTTCATGGGCAGTAGTTGGGATTAGTACAATAGTGCCATTTCTGAAGCCAAATTTTGCTACAGACAACTGATTTTCCATCAATCAACATAATAAATAATAAACAAGCGTATTTGTCAACAAGGCAGTAAGCACTATAAGCTAAGCCAACCGCTGGATTGGTACCCAATGAACAAACATAAGGGTCTATTTGGATACACATGGCTAGTTAGTAGTTGGGGCTAAAAATTAGCTCAAATTAGCTATGGCTGGCTAGCTAGTTGGATAACAACTAGTTCAAGACTTGGCTAAAAAATTAGCCCACCTATCAGCACTCATCTTTGGATGCACTGTGGCTAATTTGAGCTAAAAATTAGCCCATGGTATCCAAACATGCCATAAGATTGGGCTGTAACTAAAACTAGACACACAAACTGTGTTGCCTGCTTGACTGATCAGAGAAGCCCCATTAAGGGAAAGGATGGCATTATGCCTGGTTGTGTTCTTTGCCATGTAAAGATACAGCTTAGCTTATTTTCAGTCTCCAATTCGAGCTGTACAAACTAATAGCCACATAGTGCCGCGTAAACTTACATCGGTGATGGCATCCCCCACGCGAAATTCACAACTGATCCTAACCGTGGAAAAGAAACTCCAATCTAAATTACAGCTACAGTCACTAATCCAGCAGACTATTCTATGAGCACAACATGCCCTACGAATTTCCACCAAAAGACATCAAAACGGAAGAGCAAAGACACGGATCTAGACAGGGTGTACCTGGATGCTCATGGCCTTCTTGTTGGTCTCAAGCTGGCTCCCTGCACAGCGGAAACACGCAGATCCATCAGATCGGAGCACCCTCCCAGAGCAATCGCACGAAGAGAACACATATAATATCGAAGAACCGGAAGGGACATGGCGTAGGAAGAGGGGGCGCACCCTTGGCCGCCTTGTTCTTCTCCAAGTTGCGCTCGCGGGCCGTCTTGGACTTCTGGCCGTTGCCGCCGCCCATGGTGGATGGATCCGGCGACGATCGATGGCAGCAACGCGCCCGCACCTCGCCCTGCTTCGCCCGGCGGCCGGCCCGCGCCGCTCCGCGTTAGGATTGTGGTTCACGGGAGGCGAGGGAGGGGGATGGCAGATCTCTCCGATGGATCTGTGGGCGCCCAACGGGAGCTTTTAATTGGAAGCCGTGCCCGTCGGTGCCGTGCCGGAAAGACACTCTTGAGGAGATCTCGGCCGTCCATCCAGCAGCGAGGGATTATTTTACCCGACGGAGGGAAGCGACGTTTTTGCAGCTGTAAAATTAAGTTATCGTGTTGTTCCTATAAAAAGGACTTGTCATCCCCCACAGTGAGTAGCTAGAACATTGATTATAGTAGCAGTATACAAGTACAAGTCTGAATTACAAAACAAATAACACAACACGTGGCCAGAAATAAGCACACAACAAGATTATAGCACTCGCGCCACTGCGCCTAGACATACAAAATTTGAATGAGCGAATTGGGCTCCATAGCCCCACTACAAAATGACCTCACAGGCTCCTGGTGAACCCAACGTAAGCCATCCACACGCTCCAAATGTGCCAAACTCCATAGCACGTATAAGAGTTCCATCTCCATTCATACTCATAGATCTAAGTAAAGTACCAAGTGAAGAGCCATCGATAGCCTGCATGAGAGTTCAATCTTCAATTCTGGCCATAGATCTAAATAAAAATACTAGGGGAAAGAAGTGAAGAGCCTTTACCAGACCTAAATCAAGAGCCTGCTAATGATGGAGATGAAAAGGTCAGTCCCACTACCTCCAGGAAGAGCAACATTACGGGCCTACCGGGAAATGGTAACCCAAGGCACCTAGGGAAGGCATCTTTTAGCCATAAGATTTTGTTGCAAGATTTGTGCATCAAATAGACTTGTAAGAAAAAAATCTTCTATTTCAACTAAGGTTCTGTTTGGTTCGGGTGTTTTAGGCTGTTAACGATCCCAACGTGACCTGATCACATTAGTTTTTGTTTGGTTAGGCTAGAGTGCAATCCGTTCACGCCGTGACACTGATATCGGGCTATACAGGATTGATACCGCCCAATTTCTAGCGGGAACGAATAATGTCGTGGCCGCGAGCGGTTGACTACCCACCACGATTGAAACAAAACAATTGCCGTTTCCTTTACACTGCAATAGTTGGCGCCGCATTCGATCCCATTTACATTACCCGCTCATGAAGCCGAACCAAACAACACCTAAATACAAATATTGTCTCCTCCCTTAGGTGTTTATTATTACAAAAAGTGGTTATCTTTTATTTCCAAACTTTATATTAGAACATATTAGAGTCATGTAGAATTTCAACATTTGTACTATTCAAACCTTGTATATTCAAATATGTTATAATTCCATAAAATTCAAATATTTCAACACGTTCATATCTATTTTCTCTTATTGTCTAGCATTCAAATATTTGAACATATTTTTAATCAAATACATGAAATGTTTCTAGCATACAGTATGATCTTCACATATTACATTTGAAACTCTGGAAACAATCTAGAAGACATACAATGTGATTTGTACACATAATATTCAAACTTTTCAAACATATCATACATCTATCTAAATCCTAGCTCATAGGATTCAAAGTATTGCATTGCAAACCCTGGTTTGAAATATGCATGACTGATTCATGCTACAAAGAAAACACTTCAATGGGATATAATATAGCAGCCTTACAATAGCCCATCAAGAGTCACAAAATACAAAATTTTATGGAATCTACTAAAGCATTAAATACATGAGCCTTTGTTAGATTTTCTCTTCATAGTATCAGTCGGATACATAAAGAATAAATATAACTATTTACCTTCCCTCTATGTTTGTCAGAGTAAAACTACCTATGGAGTTCTAAATATCATCCTTTATTTGGTCTATTTCGTTGCTCCCCCGTCCAAAGTATGCAGGCCGATTGGGGGTTGGAAGGGTAGTGCTTCCATTGCCCAAAGTGTACACAACAGATGACATTACTGGTCTGTCATCTGGGTTTTCTTGAACACACAAGAGTGCTATATGACTACAAAGCAAAACTTCATCTAGCAAACAAGAATCTATAATAGATGAATCTGCCAAATCTTTTGTGTTCCCCTCTATCCACATGATCCATGAACCATTTTGATTGTGGTAATTCTTATAGGTTTATAGTGACTAGACAAAGATTTCAATTTACAGCTTGTCAAAAGACATATACTCACATAGGCTATAAGGTCTGGAAACCCCGTGGTGTGATTCAGGGAGCTTCTCCTTGTACCGGTTACAACTTCCAAGATTAGCACACCAAAGCTATAGATATCAGACTTGATAGAGAAAATACCTTCCATTGCATATTCAGAGCCAGGTAACCACTGTTTGGCCATTTGAGTAGTAGAAATTATTGCATGCATTCGAAATAATTATTAGTTAGGTAATTATATAAAAATTGCTACTCACTATGTTCTGACAACACGTTGGGTATTTGCTTTTATCTGGTAACCACTAAAGATCCTTGCCATCCCAAAGTCTGCTATCTTGGGTCTCATCTCTGCATCTAGTAAAAACATTAGCTGCTTTGAGATCTCTATAAATTATGGTCAATCTTGAATCATGATGGAGGTAAAGAAGTCCTCTTGCAACTCCTTTGATTATGCTAAATCGTGTTGGCCAATGAAGCAACATTTTTCTTGAATTATCTGCATATAGAAGAAAATAAAAGGCAAAATAAATATATATTTGAGTTTTTTAGATGTTCTTAATAGTTCAGTGTCACAAGAACATACCAAAGAGGGTAGCATCTAAGCTTTTGTTGGGCAGATACTCATAAATCAAGATCTTTTCATCACCCTCAACACTGCATCCTAGAAGTCGAACTAGATTCCTGTGTTGCAATTTGGCTATGAGAATAACTTCATTTCTAAATTCCTCGGTTCCTTGCTCAGAGTCCTTGCTTAGCCTTTTGATAGCAACTTCCTGACCACCTAGTACCTGCAGAAAATATTAATCAAACCTAGCAGTTTGTCATCTGTCATGCAGCTGGCAGCTCTATGTGATTATTCAGCTATAAAATCAGTTAGAGGAAGCTACTACCAAATGGAAGAGTTACCATATAAACTTTGCGAAAACCTCCCTGTCCTATCTTATATGCATCAGAGAAATTGTGCGTTGCTGCCACAATATCATCAAATCTGACAAAGGGTAACACAAACTCTTGGGCAGAGTTTATTTCCCCAAGTTCATCAGATGTGTACCCATACCACCCAAAATTAGCTTCTTGCTCCTTTTCCTATTCCCTGTTTTACCTGCATCCATGTTTTTGGTAATCAGTGATGTTCTCCTAAGGGCTCGTTCGGTTTAGCTCAAACCAGGCCAGGAATAATTCTGGTTGACAAAACTTATTCAAATTAGACAACGAATCCGAGCTGGAATATTTCCAGGGAGTCGTTCCCCTTCAACTGAACGTGGCCTAAAGAGAAACGCGAAGAGTTGGGTTGTACAGTACCTTTGAACTTTGCGAGTGAAATGCCCACGAGCAGTAGAATAAATACTGCTGGTCAGAACCGTAGGCAGTGCAATCTTCAGTGCATTGGTCTTTGCCCTTTGACCTGTGCAGAGTCCATGCAAGCTCCATTTATGCAATTTTCAGTCTATGGAGAGCACATGCAGAGAGGGAGCTCACAAAACAAAACGTACCAGCACGCAAGCCAGCAGTCCAGAGATAGACTGGTTGGTTTCTGGGCTGATAAGCCCAGTTGGTGTTGATTTGTTGTGAGAGAAAAACACTGTTGGCAGGCTGATAAGCCCTGGCTGAAACCAGCAAGCGAACAGGCTGAGAGGGTGTCGCTGCCAATGGCGTCACCCATCTTCGCCGTGTCGATGAGCTCCCCGGCCCACACTAGACACCTCGTCACGTCCCCCGCCGATGCGGCGGTGCTGCTGCTGCTGAGCCGCAGATTGGCGTAAGCGTACGCCACGCAGGAGCAGTTCCGGCTGCACTCGGCGGCGCACTCCTCCAGGGTCCTGTTGCCGACACGCACGAACTCGTCGGGTGACTTTATCCCAAGCAAGGCCAGGAACCCGTTGCCGCACCGTGGCGCGTCGTCCTTCCGGCGGCAGCCCCGCGAGAAGGTGCCGCCGCTCCACTCTCCCGCGCTCGCTGGCTCGAAGCCGTCGAGGCACCTGCACGTCGGGACAGCCTCGGTGTTGTCGCAGTAGCTGTTGGGCCCGCAGTGGCCGTAGCGGCTGCTGCACGATGAGCCGGCCACACCCCGAGGACGGCCCACGCCATGCTGCTCCTGTTCCAGCTCTGGAGCTGGTACTCGCCGGAGTAGGTCAGCACATACCTGGTGTGCGGCGCGCCCACTACTACATAAAGGGTTTGTAGGGGCGGCTCAAGACTATTTGTAGGGGCGGTTTGGCCAACCGTCCCTACCAAACCGTCTCTACAAATCATGCATTTATAGGGGCGGTTCCCAGATCGTCCCTACAAATTGATTTGTAGGGGCGGCTATAGTACCAGCCGCCCCTATAATACCTGTTTGTAGGGATGGTTCAATCTAGAACCGCCCCTACAGTACGTTTTTCCGTCAAAAAAATTTAAATTTACAATTCAAATTCTACCAGAACATACATATGGCCCTGTTTGTTTCTGCGTGTTCCCGCGTTCGCGTTGCGAGTGAGCGAGGAAAGCGAGATAATCCCGCCGAACGCCCTACGACCAACGTTCCGAACCACGTTCGCTCAAGAGTATTATATAAACTACAAGCACAAGAGTATTATATAAACTATAATTACAAGTCCAATTCATAAGAATATATACAATCCATCATTAAATAGACATAATTCACAAGGTAAAACCAATGTCAAATTCCATACACATTGTTATCAACGTCCTAGAGCTAGCCTTTCAGTCTCACGAAGGTATTGATATTAAGGATTTCTACCTAAGTCAGACTCTCGGTCATGGTAGGTGCCTTTGACGTGTACA